CATAAACATTTGTGTTAATCAGAAAGAACAGCATTAGTCCAGTTTATGATACAACAAGAATAGAAGATCGTGTAATTTCATATATTTGTTGCCCCAGCAAACACTTACAAAGACCCTAACTGTGTGTCATGCTTTCCATTTTAGGGAAAAAGCCAGTAGGGCTTACAGAGGCAAAGTAAATAACAGAACCAGGATCTTTACCAGGTTTTTCTGACACTAAATCTATTGCTCATCCGTTAAATCAGAGTTATTTGTATGCTCTGTAATAGTGCTTCACATGTTAAATCTGAACTTCCCCAGAACAGGAACATACTTTGTCTCTGGGTCCCCAGTGCCTCTTACAGAGCCGAGAGCTTGATATGCAGTCAGGGGTTGTGAGATGAATGGGTTCATGAATGATTGAATGAAAAGACAAGTACTACCTTTCATGCTTTTAAAAAGCTTCCTTTACCCAGCTGAGAGGTTTCTTTCCATGGAAGAGATATTTTCCCCCAAATAAACCTCAAGTGTGTGTCAATATCGGAATGCAAATGGATCAAAGCCCTTTTTTAAAAAAAAATTCCTACTCTTCCCACAAAGTGAAAAAAGTTCTTTTGTTACCTAAAATATCTGCGCCAGATTGTACAATGCTGTCTCTTAACGCAAGTGCTTATTATTGTGGCTAATTTGGTCACATGTGTTTGAGGGAGAACAATGCCTCAGAAATTTTTTAAAAGCAAAACAGCAATCTGAAGCATTTGTTGTAATGAGATGTAAATTGCCAACATCAGTAGTGGAGCCGACTAAAATTTGCAATGAAGTGATTTTCCCCCCTCTTAAATTAAAAGCACTAGGGGCCCTCCCTGCTCTCCCCGAAGAAAACACATGCTTTTTTGTTCCTCTTCTTTCTGATCCTGTAATGCTAAACATTGCGCTCTATTGATTGATTCATTCCTTCATTCATCTGCCATTTTGCCCACTTCTGTCTGCTTCGTGCCTCAGTGCTAGGCCCTTCCAGAGGCATCAGCAGCCTGCATGGTGGCTTTTGGTAACCCCCATTTTGCAGGCAGGAAAGCTGAGTTGCAGAGAGGGTAAGATGACCTGACTTTAAAGTCATGAGCTGGGATTCACACCCAGGTCTCCTGAAAAGTCCCTTTTAAGATGTACCTTTGGCTGGCTTTTCAAGCTGACCTTCTGTAGACAATATCCTGGAAGGAGGAGGCTGTTGCGGAGAGCTTTTGCCAGGTGTTAAGCAAATGGTGCTGACTGAGAAGTGTAGAAAATAGTTTTTCTTGAGAGCCAAGATCTCAGTATAGTAGCTTCTGTATTTGACAGAAGTTTATCAGTCCCGTAGGAGACCATCGTGAGCCTTGAGGGGACCATCGTGAGCCTTGAGGAGAGTGGGTGGGCTGTGGAGTACAAGGACCTGCTCTGTGCTGGGCCTGTGCTAAGCACTAGGGGCAAAAGCAGAACAGCAGGGCCTCTGTTTCACAGAACCTATGGTTTAGTAGAGACGAACTTAAGCGCACAAGTGTGACTTGTGTGGGAGTGGGTGGAGAGGGAGTGAACGACTATTTACCAAGAACCCACTCTGTACCAGACTCTGACATCATTGTTCCATATAAATATACGAATATATATATACACACACATATAATATATATATATAGTTATCTGATTTAATCCTCAGTCTTGCCAAGTCACTGTTATCTTTCCTTCTTTCAGGTGAGACAACAAGATCAGAGAGGTTAAGCCATTATTTATGTGTACATTATCTCTTGAGGATAGAATGTGAATCAAGCACTGTGCCAGGTGAGCCCTGGTCTCTGACATAAAAAGATACAGTCCTTGGCTGCCCTCAAGCCTCCTCTCTGACATAAAAAGACACTATTTTTGGCTGCCCCCTCCTCCTTTTGTAGGGGAGACAGACATAGAGATGAATGAGCACATCTGATTACTATGGTAGAGTGGGGGCAGAGGGGTGGGGAGAGTCCAAAGGAAGGTGGAGCTCTACTACCCAAGGAAGATCACAAGTCAGCTAAGCAGTAAGTGGAAAACCCTGTACTTAAACCCAGTATTTGGAGCTCTGTCTCCAAATCCCAAGCCAAGGGCTAGAGAGAATTATTTACTAGTCTTTGAGGGGATAGGGCAGCCTCATTGAAGAGATGGCATTTGAGTCAGGCCTTGCATCACTGGTGGAGCTTGTGTAGGTGGACATCTGTAGGGGCAGAATGTTCTGGACAAAAGGAATGGCACAAGCAAAGACTAGGAGGCAGGAAAGAATGGTATATGTGTGGAGAGGATTAGGCCAGCCACTTTGCCTGGAATGGAATCTGACTGTGGGAGGGGACCAACAGGATGGAGCCAGAGAGGTGACTCTCTCAACCCCTGCTCCCTCTGATGTCCCTTAGCTGTCCCTCTGTAGACAGTGTGATAGCAGAGCTCTTTATCTGGAACTGTGCCATCTGAATTGTCCATTCTAACTAGATGCTTCTGATTTCTAATTAACAGCCCTGATTTCTACTTCTCGGACTCCAAGAAAGGTTACAGACATTCAGAACAGCTTCCCACCTGCCCATGCCTCTACCCTCAAGCACCTCTGCTCAGCAGCAGGACTTTACTTCAGAATCTTTGTCACAGCCCATTAAAGTCCCTCTCTTCCTCCCCTCTCATGTCATGAAGAATTTACTAAGAGCCTGTCATGTACCAGCACTTCCCTAGGCTCCAAGATGCTAAAGGGAGTAAAGCTTTGCTATTGAAGAGCTTTATAGTCTAATGTTGAAAACTGACAGGCAGACGATTGCAAACATAATTTGCTAAAAGTAGTCACAATGTAGAGACCCCCCTACCTGGGAGTGATGACAGTCAAGCCTCACAAAGGAGACACCTGAGCTATGTCCTAAAGTCTACCTGGGCGCTTGGCAGACAGATGAGGTAGTGTTCAAGGCCAAGACAACAGCACAGACACCTGGAACAACATAATATTTGGGGTACCTGAGCAGAGGTGAATATTGGTGGGGGAGGTGAGAAATAACCCTAGAGGTAAGGAGGCTGGTTGTTCTGGGCCTTATGGAAGCCATGGTGTGGGACTTAATTTTGAGGGTGGTGGGCAGCCTAAGCAAGGAAAGACAGGGTCATGTGGAAGATCCCTTTGATGGCCTTTATAGAGATGGATGGGAGAGAATCAACTGAAGTCACGGCTATACTGGATTCATTCTGTTGTCCAGCCTCTCATGGAAGGAAAAGGAGGCTTTAGAGGAAGGGCACGTTCTTGCTAAAGATGACTGTGAGTGCGTGGCTTTCATGGACCTCCTCTTTTCAGCCTATTATTTTTTTTCTGTTGGCTGAAGGTCAGACCTGGAAGAGATTTCACACACTAACTCAGCCATGTGCTTTAGGGGAAATTTAAGTAATTACCTCTTCCCAGATCTGAGAAAAGATCAAATGTCCCACTTGAATTTGTTTGTGTCTCAAAAATTTAACCTGTGATCCCACACAGAGAGAAGAAACTTTGGTATTTGCTTCTGAAACTTTAGAATTACTCATTCATTGTCGTCATTGTTTTATTTACTTAGCAAACATTTAGGGAGTGCCTACTCAGCCCTTGAATAGGTCCTGCACATCTTATTGGGAGGTGCTGTCAGAATGATTACGATGCTATTGGTCCTTTGCTCTGCCAACTTCTGTATCTGTAATTTACTCACCTGTGGTCACACAATTAAAATATAGCATAGCCAGGAATGGGACCTGAAATCTCTACCAGAAGGAGTCAAGCTCTTTTATTTGCACTGTTCTGCTCCCCAGTCATCTTGCATTCAGCTTTGTGCAAGTTTCATTTTAAATCTTAGGGTACTACAGAGATTTCATCTTTCAGTTAGCAGCTGCCAGCAATTCAGGATTGATATTCTCTCCTGAGAAGCTGTATCATGAGGAATTTTAGTAACAAATTCACCAGAACCTTCACTGCCACCAACCAAAGTCTAGGATATGTCAACTGAACCCAGAGTTGCAAGCAGATTGTTACAAAGGGCTTTAATATATAAAGAGCTTTGTACCCAGTTTTCCACATGGCTAGGATAAGAGAAGGCTGGTCTGTGAGTTCATCTGTTACCTAAGTTAACATGCACGGCCAGAGGGAGCTGCTGTGGCAGCAGCCAAATCTCTGATCTCAGTCAACTCCTGAAATGTTTGCATGGGGAGAATTTCCAGCATGTTAAATTATGTTGGCCTTTGAAGTTGTTCTCCCACAAAAGTTAATCAAGTCATTTGGCCTTATTTACCCATTTTCATCCTGTTTCTCTGCCCTTTAGTAATCAACACACAATAGGTGATTTTTAAAAACAGTCCATTTTTAAAAGCTAATGGAGAAAAAATAACCCCTTTAGAAACTATCACCATTTATCTAGCTTCCTTTCGCTGTTTAAACTGCATGTAATTTGTGCTGATTGCATTAAAATAAAAATCAGAGTAGCTGCTGGATCAGGCAATCAGGGGCTTAATGTGTATTGTGTTTTAATTTCTTGGTTCAAATGCTCCTGTCTAGATACTAGGTCTTGGGGAGGGGGAGGCCTTCACATTTTTGCCCACACTTTCCTAAGCTCCCTTCTTCTGTTACGGCCTTCTCCACTGTAAGATACTGAGGTGAGGATTTTGGCAAAGACACGATTTGCATATTCCAGTAATTGCCACCCCTTCTTCTCCAACCCAGCCTTAACAGAACCTCTTTCCTGTGCAGGAAGTTGAATCCCTGCCTTTCCATTTAGACAATGGCAGCCTGGAAGAGTGCTTCTCATTCAAACTTGATTACAGTCTAGTCCACTCTTGTCTTCCAGTTTTCCACCTTTTCCCTTGTGACATTCATGCCTCATATTATTTTCAAGTCTGGGTTTAAGTGTAGTTCAATGGACAAAAATAAGCTAGGATATTTTTGTGCCACTGTGTGCTGATAGATGCCTAGTTAAAAATATTTGCCTTTTATTTTCCTTGGAGTTCTAGACAGATTTCTTTTCTTAACTGCCTAGGTCCCGCCATTGATCTGGAAAAAGTAAAGTCAGAATGTCTCGAGCCCGAGCCGGAGTTACGGAGCACTTTCAGTGAGGAAGCAAATACGTCGTCCTATTACCCCGCTCCTGCGCCTGTCATGGACAAGTATATCCTAGACAATGGCAAGGTAGTGTTTTAAGCTCAATATCCATTCCCTGCAAGTGTTTGTTAGTCAGAGTAAAGGTGGAGAGTATGGTGGGAGCTTTCCAAATCACAGCTTGACTGGTTGGCCTCCTGGCCTAGCCCTGAATGACTGTTTCTGGAATTTGTATATTATAAGTAGCGTAGCTTTGCTGGGGCGTTTTCTCTTCCTTCTTCCTTTTTTTTCTTTCTTTTTTTTTTTAAATATTGAGCCAAAGCAACTATAAAAGTAAATTGACATTTTAAAATAGCTTACTAGTGAGAAAGATATTTCTTAACTCCCATGAGAGTTTGATGAAACTTGTCCCACCTTCCTATGAAACCAGATGCCTAAAATTTATAAGGTGAGCTGGAAATGAAGTATCTGATTTACAGATAACAACTCAATTTGTATTCATTCACCACTTAGAAAGTATCTGTATGTTCTAAACCCTGTGCTAGATAACAGGAATACAGGGATGAATAAGACATACTCCCTTATCCCTAAGCCTCCTTCAAGCTGTGTATGCAGCAGTGGTTAGCCCACAGTCCTAGGACCACAGAGAACTCCTCAGAGTTATTTATATGACGTTGAAAACAAATCATGAACAAAAACTTAAGCACTATTAGTAATGGAATCGCTTTTGAAAAATCTTAAAGCCACATGATGATATATACCAGCAGGGCAGGGGAGGAAACTTTTCTGACATTCTTCTAACATTCAGTTGAACTGATCTTTAAAGAAGTATATCAGAGCCCTTTGTGTAGGCACTGGTGAAATTCAGCTTTAGTGTTTTGTTCTCTGCCACTGTGGCATGCATTACAGACATCGCCTCTCATGCTCCTTAACGCGTCATGTGTTGGTTCATTTTTCTTGCCTCATGCTTCAAAAGGTCTCTGTTTATTTAGTATCATTCTCTGGTAGGTTGATGAGAAAGAAAAATTTGTTTTATTTGGGTTTGTCCAGATATGTCTCTGCAACTGGCCAACCTGAGCCAAAGCAAATATTGTCAAGCTGAGGAAATGAAACGTATTAGTTTTCAGGGCTCTCTTGGATGTGCTGTCATTCCCTGCATCTCCCACTGCGCGCTTCCTCCCCTGCAGAGGTCCATTCTGCCTTGCCTTGCTCCCTTCAACAGGCTTGAAACATCAGCTTTGCAGAGGAGAGGTGGCATGACAGGTTGGAAGTCGGCAGCCTGGAGCCAGAGTTCTTAGTATAGCTCTACATCTATCCTACCTGTGTGACCTTGCAAAGGTCCTTCACTTCTCTGGGTCTCAGCATCCTTATCTGTGAAAGATGGGATCGGATTGATGCTCTCCAAAGGCCTTTCTGATTCAAACTGTGTATCTAAGTTTGGTGAACCTTCCCCAGTCAAAGATAAAAGTTAGGACTATACTAGGTTTGTTGATTTCTTTTTAGTCATGAACACATTGTGGAGTGACTAGAGAGTTTTTCTTAAAGTAGCTTCCAAGAGAAATCTATTTCTCCCTTGCCTTGAAGGCTGATGGATAGTTTCAGAGCAGTTTAGGGGGCCTCTTTTGCAAAGATAGCATTCTTCTCCCAGAAAACGAGTCTCTCAAACCTCATTTAATATTTTAACACATGAGTTGAACAGCAAATCTTGAAAATGCCTATTTTGTTTTTTCATTGGTTTTTGCAAACGTGTTGCTATAAGACTAACCTGGTTTTTGTTTGCACCTAATTGGTAGTCAGGCAGAGAGAGTTTTAAACGCAGAGGAAAGGAAGTGGACACACTGGAAATGATGGCAGCTTCCCAGAAAAGCATCTCCCACATCCCCCAAGTAGCCCTCATTGTTCTTGGCTCTGCTGTCTTCTCTAACCCTTCCTTCTGTCTGCACAATCAGAGGCCTTAATCTCTGCAAGGCTTAGAGCACTGGAATGGGATACATTTCCTAGTAGGAAATGATTTTTGTCCTATAAAACTTTTCACATAAATATATTCTGATCAGGTTCCCTCCTACCAGATGCCATATTTTTAATAACCTCTTTGACACATAACACTAAAACTTTGGTCGAATAGTATACTGTGGTTTACATGAATCGGGCTTGCCACACAAATTTCTGATTTGGGTAAAGTGCATTGTGTTTCTTTGTCTAAAATGTTTTATTTCAAAAACTCATTGAATCATAAAGCTGCAAAGACCATTAAATTTTAAATAACCTAATTTATATGTAGTATGGATAGGGAAACATATCCAGAGAAGGGACTCCTCTACAATTAAATAACAGGTTAGAGGCAGGCAGGAACTGAAAGCCAGACCTCCTGGTTCCCAGGCCAGTGTTCTCACCAGTCTGTTCTGCTACATCCCTGAAAGCTGACCATTGCTCCAGGTGACCTTGAGCCTTGCTAACCTCAGGGGCCCTTGTCTTAGATGCCCCAGTATATACCTGTGATTGGTCATAGTGAAGCCCGTTTCTTTCTGTGCTCTAAAGTTGGCCTTGTACTTGAGTGAATGTCAGAAAATATTTTCATCTCCAAGGAACAGCAGCTCATCAGAAGTGAAAAAGAGTTCCATAAAGACATTAAATATGCCCATGACTTTTTACTGCTTTGTGTACAGACTAGCCCGTATCACTTTGTAGGGGACAGAAGAGGCAAAGCCTTGACCCTCCCCACTGACATGTACTGTGAAGGACTGAATCAGGTGGCAAAGGCTCTAAGTGGGCTAGAAATTCAGAAAGAATAGAACTTAGCCCTGCGGTAACTAAGGAGTGTTTCCTGAATTTTAGACTGGGGCTTGAAAGATTAGCAGGCTTAAGAAAACGTAGGGAAAACATTCATTCCTGGGCAAGAGAATGGCAGGAGCAGAAACCTGGGGAGGGGAAAGGGGGTAAAGGATGTAACAGTTGCTGTCCTCCTGACGCTTTACATATCTTTTCTCATTTCACCCTCTCAGCAACTCTGAGGTAGCAATGATCTGCTGACTGTATAGATGAGAAAAGTAAGGCTCAGAAAAGTAAAGTGGCCCAAGTTAACCAGCAAGCAGGTAGAAGAGCTGAGATTTACACCCAGGCTGGCCACTCCAGCACCCATCCTCTTGATGTTACAGCACACTGGAAGTAGCAGGAAATGAACAAGTTCAGGAATTTTGTAGTATAGATGGACTATATAGATGAATATAGTAGGGGAATGAAGTAGTAGTAAACAGAATGGATTCTAATGGGCCTTCAAAGCCAGACTAAGGAAGTTGGATTAACTATGATAGGAAACGGGGAGCCATTCAGAATTCCAGAGGATTTACATAAAAACACAGTTGAAAGACCACAGAAGTCATCTAGTCAAACAAGGAAGGAGATGTTTTAGGGAACTTGATCTGTCGTGATTATAGGATGGGCAGGTTGAAGGGGGCAAGGACTGGAGGCAAAGGCCAATCCGTGGCTGTTTTCCTGGTTTCCCTGTCTGCAGTGGTGAACTGCACTGGAAGTTAGTGTGGGAAATAGCCAGGCAGATACAGATAAAACTCAAAAGGAAAACTAACTGAACATTGATGTGTTAGGTCTGCTGTCTTTGATCTATATCAGCACCACCTTGGTGGCAGCAAGGAAGACAGGGAGAGCAGAGGCTTCAGGATTTGGGTTTGAATCTTGATTCCAAAATTGACTGTGTACCTTAGGAAAAGTTACATAGTCCCTCTGAATCTCTGTTTACGTCTGTAAAATGGGAAAATAATTTCTACCTATTTTCATCTCTTAAGGTCATTATGAAGAATAAATAAATTGAATGTACAATACCTGGTTCATTATAAGTACTCAAAAATACTAGTACCCCTTTTCTCTTGTAGAACTTTGGCTAAAAGGACTTTCATCTCCCTTTCAAGAATAACAAATTAAAAGATCACAGGAAAGCAAGGCCCAGAGGGTCGGGGTGGGATAGAGGGGAAGCAGAGATTTTTGAAAAATCTGAAGTTGGCATCCATCTCTATGATTTTCTGATTCAGAATTTAATGTAATTCAAAGTTCCTTGTTTTTCTCCTGTCTCAGGAAGCTTGTGTGGGTGGCTTCAAGTGTCATCAAGGGAAGTGATGCAGGGTCCAGCAGGGAGCAGCAGGGAACTTGTCCTCAGCATGCCCAGTCTGGCACACAGACTGCCCACCTGCAGTTCGAACTGCGGAGGAAAGGCCACACTTGACCTTGGTGTCCGTGTTGCCTAGCCAGCAGCCAGGTAGCACATCTCGCTCCAAGGCTGCTTATCTCCCCTGAGCGGATGAACAGCTTTGCAGCACTGAAGTTTACAGCACAGAGAGGCCAGGTGGAGCTAGTTATCTGATTGCCTGCAGCAGTCTGATCTTCTGAGCAGAAGGAGGTGAAGTCAGACGTGCAGGTAGATTGTTGACTTACATTCATGGGTGGGTTGTGTTGCTATTTTTTTTTTTTCTTCTTGATGGTTGGAAAATTTCAGTAATTGGTAAAGGAAGAAGCTTTGCTGGCTGACCTGACTGCCTAACTGTGTACTCGCCTTCCTTCCCAAGCCAAGCTCCAGTAGTAGAAAGATCTTTAATTGTTTTTTGAACAATTGGTCTTGCTGGTCTACCATTAGTTGGGTATGCATCCAGTGTCTTAGAGCAGGACCTCTCCAGAGATGTCTCTGACCCTGTGACATTGGCAACCTGCAGGCCTTTCTGAAAACAAGGACCTTTGGCAGATCCTTCTCATGCCCCTTAGAAAGTTTAGCTCGTTAGCAGCTGCCGCCCAGGGTCCCGACAGAGACCATTTCCTCCCTTCACAGACACAGCAGAAGCACAACGTAAATGGCAATGTCAAAGCAAACACTGTTTTTTTAATGATGAATGTTAGTATATGACTTGTGAGATCTAAATTTTATACTAATTTTTTTTTTTTTAGATTTACTAAAGGTGCAGGAAGGGAGAACAAATTAAAATCTTGTAGCTTATTGCTGGAACATTCTGTGTCTTATTGGCTCTGCACTGAAACTTGTAGGGAGCGTAAGACTGTGTTTTGTTCTTTGTGCCGTCGGAATCAAACTGCGTACCTTGTGGTTGTGTTTAAAATCATAGGTGTTTTGAGCCAGAAGGAACTTTGAGATGAAATCCAGCTCTACCACTTCATAGGTAGGGAAATGAAGCTCAGAGGTGGGAAAGGACTGGCACAGCCCTACTCCAGTTGGCAGGGCAGCTGCTCTCCTTACTTGAGCTGGCAGAGGTTTTCACACTTAGCCATACATTGGAATTATTTAGGCCACACCCAGCCCAAATAAATCAGACTCTCTAGGAGTGGGACCCAGGAACTGGTGATTTTTCTTTTTTTTTTTTTTTTTTTTGAAACGGAGTCTCACTCTCTCCCAGGCTGGAGTGCAGTGACGCAGATCTCAGCTCACTGCAACCTCTTCCTCCCAGGTTCAAGTGATTCTCTTGCCTCAGCCTCCCAAACAGCTGGGACTACAGGTGCGTGCCACCACGCCTGGCTAAGTTTTTGTATTTTTAGTAGAGACAAGAGTTTTACCATGTTAGCCAGAATGGTCCCAATCTCCTGACCTCGTGATCCGCCCACCTCGACCTCCCAAAATGCTGGGATTACAGGTGTGAGCCACGGCAGCCGGCTGGCACTGGTGATTTTTACAGCTCCCTAGGTGACCCCTGTGTGCAGCCAAGGTTGAGAACCACCATGCTAGGAAGGTTTATGTCCCAGAATACTCACATTAAAGGAAGGTGGAACTTTCCATAGTGTAACACAGAAAGAAATTACACATGTGTGTCCTGAGATTTGGTCAGGCTCCGAGCAGCCTCGCGATAACCTAAGTATAGTGTAGAATCTCAACTCTGCCACTTACTAGTTGAATGATGTTCAGCAAGTCACTCTACCTTTCTGAACCTGGTGTTTCCATCTGAAAGGAAAATGGTGTTATAATGCCTTCTATCCACAATTGCCATGAAGATTTGAGATAGCAAATATAAAGCACTAGAATGAGGCCTGGCACACTACAGGAATTCAGTCGATGATAGCTATTCTGATTACCCTTAAAGAGAGTTAATTTCGTATTTGTGACATGAATCTCTTACAGTTGTGCAGCAATGCTTTTTAAAGGACAAGAGAAGCCTCCCACTGCCCTCCTGTCGGACTAAACAGGTGCTGGTGTTCTTATTCCTCTCAGGTCCATCTGGGAAGCGGGATTTGGGTTGATGAGGAGAAATGGCACCAGCTACAAGTAACCCAAGGAGATTCCAAGTACACGAAGAACTTGGCAGTTATGATTTGGGGAACAGATGTTCTGAAAAACAGAAGCGTCACAGGAGTCGCCACAAAAAAAAAGAAAGATGCAGTCCCTAAACCACCCCTCTCACCTCACAAACTAAGCATCGTCAGAGGTAGGTCACTGAGTGGAAACACAATGACTCTGTCAAGAATGTGTTAGGCATAATTCAATTCAATGATGACTTATGAAGCCTCTGCATGCCAGACCCTGGGCTGAGCCCGGGGATACCAAGCAGATGTCCCAGAGGAGCTCACATTTACCAGGGCAGATGAGCTGTGGACACAAGTATGATTATATGCCACAAGGAATTAGCATGAGAAAGGGACAGATGGCATGCTAAAGGAGTTCTCAGGTTGGGAGAATACCCTTAGCTGGAAAATCAGGGAAGAATTCCTGGGGACCGGGGTCACTGAACTGAGCCTTGAAGGATACAGCAGACAAGGAGACACAGATATGTATGGTGAGATATTGCACTTCTGGAGGCAGAAGCATCTTGAACAAAGGCATGGAGATGGGAAGGGAATGCTGCTGTGTACCCAGAGCAGGAAAGGTCAAGGCTAGGGGACGCAGTTCTTGGTGGTTCTAGCATTGTGCCTGGAGCAGTTAAAGAGATGAAGACTAGCTGGTAGTCACTACATTCAGCTTCCTTTCTGGTATTTGGGACAGGTTGGAGGGCAGGCAAAGAGACAGGGAGTCATTTGTCTCCCTAAAGATAGGGCTGTATCCTGGACTCTGGAATTTTCTCTTCCTCCCTCCCTTTCCCCTTTTCCTTCTTTCCTTTCCTTTTTTCCTTCCTTCCTTCCTCCTTTTTCCTTCCTTCCTTTCCTCCTTCCTCCTCTGCTTTCTCTCCTTCCTCCTCTCTTCTTTGTCCTCTTTGTTTTTTCTTTCCTCCCTCTCTCCCACCCTCTCTCCATCCATCCATTCTTTGCCAGGCCCTCTACCGGGTATTGAGGACACAAAGAGGGATAAGACACAGCCTCCATCTGCAAGGAGTTCATAGTCTCACAGGGAAGATAAACACAAAAACAACTAGTTACCCTACAGAAAACACAAACTATAGAAACAAACAATGGTATAGAGGGAGCAAAGAGAATACAGTAGTTGCTAATTATTTTAGGCACTTACTGTGTTTCAGGATTTGGGGGTTTTTGTTAAATGGTTCTCTTTTAAAAAACACTTTTATATATGTTAACTCATTATCCTCATAACAACCCTACTGTTGGCTACTATTATAATTCCTGTTTTACAGACAAGGAAACTGAGACACAGAAATGTTGAGTAACTTGACCAGGTTATACAGCTAGTGGTAGGAAAGCCAGGAACCCGAGCCAGCAGGCTGTCTTCAGAATCTGTGCTCCTAACCACTGACCAGTGTCCAGCTCTGCCATGTTTTCATAAAGAAAGTAAGACTCAGTCAGTCAACACGTGTTTTCAGCAGACCCTGGGGGCAGACAACAAATACGTCTAGGAACAAGCTCGATAATTTCAGGTACTGTGAGCTTGCTCATATGATGTGTATAGGACAGAGAGGGCTACATTCACTGGGGTAGTTGGAGAAGGTTTGTTTAAGGAGGTGACATTTGAGCTGCAATCTGGATGTGGAAGAAGCATCTTTGTAATGAACTGAAGGGTGGCAAATCAGGCAGAATAAGCAGCAGGTATGAAGGCCGGCGTGCTCCGGGTGTGAAGAAGCCCCATGTGGCTGGGATGCAGAAGAGAGAGTGAGCTCAGGGAGGTGGGCGAGAGCCTGTCTCGTAGGGCTGGGAGGGCCACAGTAAGCAGCTTGGATTTGCTAGAGTAGAAGGGCAGTGGAGGTCTTCCAATCACGGAGTGACCACAGGAGAGATGAGTTACAAAGTTGATGCACTGCTCTCGGTGGGAGATGCTGCTGCCATAGACTAAGGGCACAGCAGTGGAGGTGGAGAAATAGGCCCAGGTTTAGGGTGTATTTTGGAGTTCAAGATGGCAGGACATAGGGTAAGCAACCAGCCTGAGGTAAAAGCTGTAAGGTTTCAGAGCCTAGATTCAAACACACACCCACCGACTCTGGTCTGGGGCTTGTTCTGCTGTAACGTAGCTGCCTCCCTTGCCTGGCTGGCTCTGGATTAATTGATTTAGGCAGCCGCTTATTTTTGGATAATCAGAGGTAACCTTTCATCTGGCTGTTGTCTGAGATGGTAAAGCCTGATTTGGGAGGTCACCCTGAGAAAAAGGCCATCCTGGAGGTGCAGCCCTGCTCTGCCCTGCCTGGTAGGTGACCGACCTCTGATTCTGCTATGCTTGTTAGAACGTGACTCAGGAGGTCCTGGGTGCCTTCAGATAACTGCCTGTTCCTGCCATTATTAGTTTGCATAAAATCATCTGCTGTGTGTCTCCCTCACGGATCTGGGGACTGTGTCTGATTCATCTCTGTAGCCTCATTGCCAAACATAGTGTCTGGCACATAGTAGGCACTTAGTAAATGAAGGTTGAACAGAAGAAACACTGAGACCCACAAGCTGATCCCCTGACCAAATTTGGTGTGATTTCTTGTAAATCACTTTCTCTATATGTTTCGGATTTCTTAGCTGAAAACTAAGCTGAAACTGTCTTGCCTCTTAAGATAGTCAGGGCAGCCTAGGATTGTAGCAGTGCAGCAGTGTAGAAGAACACATCTCAGCCATGTGGCTTGGGCCATTACACACTCCTTAGCTTCAACCCCAGCTGGGACTCAGCATCATCTGCCAAGTTGTTTGAGTTTCCCTCCCTGATCTACTGCCTCATTTTCCAAGCGTTTTTAAAAATTTTTTACTTTTTCCAAATACGATAGTTCACATCTATCAAAGAGATAGGCCTTGTCTCTTCTTTCACAGAGGAAAGTAAAGGAATTTCCACAGTTTTGAAGCATCACACCTACAGATTAACTATGTCCTCCATTTTCCTGTCTCCTGTCCCAAAAGAGTTCCTTATTTGGGGCTGGTAATTCTCTCCATCTGGTCTCTGGATTTTAATCCACCTTCCTTCCTAAGTACCTTGTTCCTTCAGTTATGTTCCTGCTCTACTGTTTCCTTCCCAGCATTGTATAAATATATTTGATCACTCATTTCTTACAAAAGCAAAGAAATCCTCCTTGAAGGGCACTCTGTCACCCAGCTGCTGTCATATCTCCCTTCTTTCACATCCAGGCTCCTGGAAAGACTGGCTACACCCGCTGTCTGTGTTCCCTGTTAATGCCCTTGCCATTTGCCTTCCCCTCCCAGCCTTCTGCTTAATGTGTTTTCACCAAGGTCCCTAGTGACTTCCTCATCACTAAATCGTTGTGTGTTTCTCACACTCTCACTGGCACCGTTTGACACGACCATTCCTCCTTCACTGAGAAACCTGTTCTGCACACTGGGGATTTCTTCCCACCTCTCTGGTTTCTCAGTCTCCTTGATAGGCCCTCTCCTCTGTGTCCAGCCACCTTCTCTCTAGTCCTACCAAGCATTCCTCAGCTTCTCTCTTCACTTCCTATTGTTCCCATTGCCTTCATGTGCCCTTGGCTCTGGGTTGAAATCCGTACTCCTCATCTGTTACAGATAATCTGCCTTTGGGCCTAGTGATCTGCCTTTGGGACGCCTCTGACCTCATCTTGTACCACACTTCCCATTTGCCACCATGCTGCAGCACTGGAGGCCTTCTTCCAGGTCCTTTCTGTTCCTACTCGCTTGCTCCTGATCTGCATGCCCTCCCTCCCTGTCACTGAGAGAGGCCTCCCCAGCCACTCAGTCTAAAGTAGCCTCTCCATTGCTGTCTGTCACATCACGTGCTTTAAGTCTCTGCATAGCATTCCTATTTACTTTTATTACTTGATGATTTTCTTTCTTCTCCCACTTCCATTAGAATTAAACTTTATCAGCATCTTGTTCAGGGCTAGCCTATAGTAAGCGCTCAATAAATATTTGTTGATTCAATGGATGATGACTCCCAAATGTGTATTTGACTCAATTCACACTTCTGATTTCTTGATCTATGTATCAAAGTGCCCACTGGTTATCTCTTCACAGATGTCCACATGGCATTGGCAAAACTGCACTGCTCACTTCTCTTTCTTTCTTCCTCTCCTTCTCTGTGAAGCCTTCGCCTCTTCTGTGTTCCCTGTCTTGGTGAGTAGTACCACCAGCCAGGCACCCAGGCCTCATCCTTGACTCCTCCACATCCCTCACTACCCATCTGTTTGGCCCCAAATCTCTCTTAAACCACTGCTGATCCACTCCCCCATTTTCTAAGCCATTTTAAAGTGTCTCTCCTTTTTCCAAATATGGAGAGAACCATCTGTATCTCTCCATAGTTACTGCCCTTCTCATAGCCCACACTCATTTCTCCCCTCCATTACTCTGGCAGCTTCCAGACTCCTCTCTCCATTATGTAACCAGAGCAATCTTCAGAAACCAGATATCCCTTGACCACCACCCAGTCACAGCCTGTTCAGAATGTTCATTATTAAAGAGTAAGCTTCTTAACATGCCAGAAAAGCGCCTTTGTAATCTGGTTCCTGGCTGTATCTCCAGTATTATTTTTCAGCAGTATTCCCCCTGCACTCTAAGTTATTACCATGGTGAACTGCTGTATTCCCTGAGCAAGCCTTGTTCCCCGTCACCTTGGGGAATTTGCAGATACTTTTCCGGATGCCTGCAACACAGGTTACACTACCTACCTTCCATCTGTGCTGCCTTGCCTGGCTAACTGCTGCTTACCATCCAGATCTGCTTAGGTGAGCCTTCCTTCAGGAAATCATCTCTGACCTTTTAGGGTGGGTCGATGCTTCTGTCATTCATCTCAGAGCACCCAGTGCCTACCTCAGTTCTCTTACTGTATCTTTGCCTCCTAGGGACCTTGTCTAACCCTTATTGCCTATAAATGCTTGCTATGTACATGAATGAGAAGGAAATTGACTTGCCCAAGGCCATACGTCTGATTAGAGACAGCCAAGCTGAACTGGGTTTTCAGGCTACCTACTGTCGCCAGAGTTTTCTTGTATTACTGAAATATAATGTTGATTTTTTTTTTTTTTTTTTTTACTAGACAGGCAGGTTTGACGTCTGTCTCCTATCCCACGATATAACCACTGTTTTTAGCCTAATTATTTGAGCTATTCCAGATTGCATTTGGCTGGTTCTTCCTATGCAAGCTGTCTGCTGGATTGAGATTGTTTGTATTTATTTTGTCTGATTTTATCACATGTAGTCACATTTGCCATATAGAAAAATAGAAAAGCCTTTATGCTCACAGAGTTGGTGAGGATTTCTTCTTTTCCTTGATTTTAAAATAATTCCTTACCTGATAGCAGAGGGATGGGGCAAACATTGATGCTGCTTTGGAAAGATAAAAGCAGGAGAACTGAAGCAGAGTCTTGCTCTAATGACAAGCTCCAGAATGACAGTTAAACCTATTAAGGTCAAATGACCTTTTGTGGAGTGTCTGAGTTTTCTAAATGAGCCTCAGCATTGCGTTCTGGTTAATTTTTATAACTTTTTTAATAGGACACATTAGCACTGTTATAAACCTTGTTAATTAAGCAATAATCTCAAATGCTTCCTCGCAGAGGGAGACATTCCCAGCAACTGCAGGTGATTAATATCTAGAGTCTAACGAAAGCCTTTTAATCAACCTGAGAAGCTGTTCGTTCAGTGCTGTTACCCACAGGAAATGAGAATGATTGAAATTCTATGGGGGCTCCTCCGAAAGCCTTCTTCCATTTGCACCTTTCTCCTTCTACCTCTTCCCTGATTAGTGCTAGGGGCTCCAAGGGCCACCACGCCCACTGTCCTGCCTTCTCCTTCTGTCTCTTTTGCCACTTTACCTGCCATTATTACCTTGCAGACAATTAGAGACTTCAAGCTGGGGGAATCTTCTTAGATTCTCTGGTTTGACATGCTACTTTTGTAGATAGTGAAACAGACCCAGAGAAGTGCCCCCTAGAGGTTGCACAGCATCTAGGGTTAGAATCAGATATGAATATCTCAACTTCTAAGCAGTTCTCATCACAGTTTGTCTCCCTCATTTGGTTCAGGTTCCAACAAAGTCGCTCTGGGTGTTTGTTTTCTCCTGGCCTAGGGGTACAGAGGGACTGCCTGAGTGTCCCACTCTGTTGGGGGAGACAATGTGGTTACAGTTTTATTAGATTGTGATTCATGCTTTGACAGAAAAACCCAGACAGGTGTGGGAGCACAGAGTTCTAGGTAGAATGGGGTCTCCTAATTCAGTCTGATACCAGGTTTCAAGAAGGCTGAATCTGGAAGAATGAGTAGAGCTTAGGCAGGTGAAGGGTAAGGACTTAAGCAGAGATGAGCAGAGTCAATGACAGGTGGAATAGGTTGAAAAGGATGATGAATATAGCAGAGGTGGGACTGGAGAGACAGGGCCTCCTACCTTCTTGTCTCTCAGTCCTTATGGAAAGGACTGAGATGAAAGACAAGATGAAGTGAGGATTAGTCAGGGTTGGGAGTAGTCAGGAAGTGACGGGTAGAGGTCAATTAAAAGCTTTTAAAGGCTTCTCTGTACAAAACCCTTCTCGGTGGAAAGAAAAGGGTGCCTCAGAAAAAGAACGCTTATGGGAGGTGCACCTGCCGCATGGATGGCAACAGGAGGCAGACTGGCTGGCTCTGTGCCCAGGGAAGGGCTCAGCGTATGGGGAGGTAGCGGTGGATTCTGCCCTATACCTACTCCCTTTCTCCAGGGCTCGGGCTTCTCATATGTTAGTGGAGAGGTTAGCACAAGTTAGTCATCACGATCCCTTCTAGTATTGACATTCTGCATCTCTGAGACAATTACCTGTTCTGAGCTGGTTTGCTAATGACAAGATTTTGCTTGTTCTCCATAGCAATTCCTCAAGGTTGGATTGCCATTCTGTTTAGTTGAGAGAACTCAGGCTCAAAGAGTCCCCAGGGGGTTTGCCCATTATTACACACTCCCATGGTACATTCACCACCCACACCCTAGTCCTCTTCTGTCCACAATATTTGTATTCCCTTAGGTTTCCCTGGAAAAGCATTTCTTCAGTCATTTCACATATATTTATTTAAGCTTGCCCCTGTGCCAAACACTGTGTTAGGCCCTAGGAATTAATAGTTGTAAATACATAAAATACTCAGAACAACCCCATACAGGTATAGTATTCTTCACAGCTTGAAAAAGGCAACATGTTTATCCCACATGCCTCATGGCAGCATTAAAAAAAAAAATGCTCTGTAGTTTGTTATCCTTACTTATGAGGTGAGGAATCTAGGGCAATGATTTGCACCAGGTCCCCAGGCTAGGCAGTCAGTTGAAATCAGGCTCCAGCCAGACCTTGTCTGGAGCTGGCTTTTTGCTTTATCACAGCAAACGGTGGACTCAGTAAGAGAGTGGCCGTACTGAGCCTCATTAGTAATCACAGCAGTGAGACACTACTTCACACCCACCAGGTTGTCAGAACCTTAATAATGTGACAATGTCAAGTACTATTAAAATGGGGCAACCAGTACTACTTGCATACACTGTTGCTAGGAGTGCCAGTCAGCACAATCACTTTGGAAAACAGTTTACCAGGCATCACCTAATAAAGTTGCATATGCACACATCTTAACATTCAGCAAGTCCACGCCTAGGCTGATACTGGAGAATTTCTTGCATGTATTCCCCAGAGGCATGTGCCAGGGTGGTTTTAATTGCAAAACCAAGTATCCATGGATGATACAATGGATAAACAAATTGTGACAGAGCCATACAATAGAACACTACTCATCAGTGAAAATGACCTACAACTACATTTTTCATGAGTAAACCTCAAAACTGTAACATTTGAGTAAAAAAAAAAGCAAGTCAGGATGATACATAGAGTGCGCACATTTATAAAAAGATTGAAAATGGAAAGTGAACCATATATTATTTAAGGATATATACATGTGTTAACACTAAAAGAAAAAAAAAAAGCAAAAGTTCAGGAGAATGGTTATCTCTGGTGGAGAGTAAAGAATTAGGGAGGGCCCTCCAGGTGCTTGGGAGGAACCGATAGTATCCTGCCCCACCGAGAGGTGGGCACGTGGCGCTTCATCATTACTTTTAAAGTGTGCATTTACAGTGTATAGCTCCTCTTTTCTAAGTACATTCTATGATGCAAATTTTAAAATATAGCTATGCCAGATACATGAACTGGTATTTGGGATGCATGTTGAGAGGCACGTTTTCTTTTACCCTCCTTAAAAGGTTTTTACTCAAATTCACCATTAATCCTTGGCCTTGTTTCTTCTCCCTGTCTAGAGTGTTTGTATGACAGAATAGCACAAGAAACTGTGGATGAAACTGAAATTGCACAGAGACTCTCCAAAGTCAACAAGTACATCTGTGAAAAAATCATGGATATCAATAAATCCTGTAAAAATGAAGAACGAAGGGAAGCAAAATACAATTTGCAATAAACTTTGGATTTTTCATAAAGCTTTTGTGTTTTCCTTGTGTGGCATGTGATTTGCGAGCGATGGTGCCGTCCAAATCAGACCCCACCATGCATGGTGGTGTGTGGGCAGGAATCCACCGGGTTCTGGGGTCAGCGGCTTATTCTGAGTGTGGACACTCCAAAGAAGACAGATGGCTTTGCTGAGACTCAGGAGCAGCCTGGCACTGGTGTCCTTCTGGGAATGGGGAAAACACTGTTCTTGGAGGGAGATAAGGTTGCCTGAGTTGCCTGTCACTTGACTGGGATTTGAATGGGTATTTTTACCATCCAAGGACTTCTCTGTTCCTCTATTTTGTTCTATAATAAAGTTTCATTAATTCTTTGATGTAGATAATCTTTATCCTCATTTCTTTAGTATATTACATATACAGTGGAGGTGACCTGTGTGTTGTGCCACCTGGCATGCCCTTCCTTTCAGGGGAGGAATATTCCGGCTGAAGGAGAGAAAATTCCTAAGAGATATGGTTGCTTTCTACAGATTTGAAGGTCTGTCTCAAAAGCAGATATCTTTCTCTGACTTCAAAGGCCAGATCTTGGACCAGTCACCTTTCTCACTTGAGGTGATCTGAGATTCAGCTTCCCTGATAATTTGAATCAATCTTTGTAAAGGGGTGAAGACAGGGTGATAATGCTAGATGAGCATAGGGTTACATTCAGGAACTAGGGGCACTGTTACCTGGTATCAGTTCTTTCATCCTATCTTGTATCTCAAATGTTCTTTCAAGTTACATAATTTTTTTCTCATTCTTTATTCAGTTACTGAGTCTCTAAGGTGCCTGGCACACATTCTGGCAAACCACATTAGAACTTCCTGTTGATTTGCACTTTGCTTTCTGTAATGCCTGTGAAGTATGCATGGCGTATTAGAAAGGGCAAGGGCTTTGGGCCGATGCGTCTAGATTCCAAGCCTGGCTCCCCTGCCTGCTTTGGGCTTAACCTGTCCTCTCTGAGTTTCCATTTTCTATTTCACGAAAAGGAGATAATGCCTACCTTTCAGAGGTGCTACAAGGATTAGAGATAACGTAAGTGTTCAATAAATGTTAGCAACTGTTACTCATTTCTGATTATTGGCTGTTATCATTGGTTAGAAAAGTGGCCTCTGGTTTCTGTAATGGTTCATCCATTAATTGGTAGTCTGTAACCAAAAGCTCAGGGTCACTGGAGGAAGTAGGAGAGGTGGCTGCCACTTTGAGAACTTTTATTTTAATTGACTTTCAGTTAACTAAACTTATTCTCAGAGTTCTTATCAGTAATGAGGAGGAAAATAATGCCTGCCTCATAGGCCGTGTGGGTAACTTAATAATATTAATAATAACAGATCGTTAATATGTGCCAAGACTTTTCTAAGTGTTTAACATAGTATGTTAACTCATTTCACAGGGTAAGTAAAGTTCCTGACACTTAGTAGATAGATGTTCAATAAATACTTGATAAGATATGTTCATTTAAGGGCATAGGGAAGCTGGGGCATGAGTTGTGTGGAGCACGTGAGAGGCTGGAAAACAAACTTTGCATCCTTGTTGAGCTCATCCCCTTTTCTCTCCGTGCATAACAAAGATACTAACACCCACTCAGAGGCTCTGCATTTCTCCTTACAGACTGATAAAGTATGGTACCTGCTTTACAAGTGCTTTTAGGTTCGTGGGGGAATAGTTGTGGAAATAACTATAATAAAAATGCTATGGTATATATGAAAGTGCTTTGTGTAATGTTTGATGCATATATTCAAGAGCACAGGGCAGTTAAAGATTATGGGATCTGGGTTTAAATCCTGGCTTTGCCACTTCCAAGCAGGTCACTTGACCTCTGGGCCTTGTTTCTTCTGGTGTGGAGAGAATGATCCCTAATTCAGGGTTGTTGTGGAGAGTAATCTAGATAATATCTGAAAAAAGGGCTCTGTAAATCACAAAGACCCTTGCAGATGTTCATTATTATCCTTAGCATAGAAGGCAGAATGAAATCAGAAGTAGATGCAACGAGGAATCATGCTTTTAAGAGCCAATTCTGATGTAATCAGGAGGCTTCACACGCTAATTAGGCTGAGACGGTTTGGCCTCTGTTGTGTACCTGGTGCCTTGTTATTGTAATATGAGGGCAAGATCATCATTCTCATACCCATACAAATGAAGAAATGGGCTCAAAAAAGGTTAAGTAATTTCTTGCTCAAGGTCCTGGAGCTGTCAGCAGTGGACCTGGATCAGAACTCAGGTCTGTGAAAAACCTGCCCTCTACCTCTTTCCTGAAAGATGAGTGGTAAATTATGGTCTAGGCTGTGAGTCTAGTCACATAGTCTCAGGATATGTTTAGGGGAAACCCAACCTAAGTATTAGTCAATGGAAATCAGTCTTATTAATTCAGGCCATTTGGAGGGACTAGGAATGATAGTACTGCTTATAAACAGTCACAGTTTTATTACATTCAAATACATATAAAAACTCAAATTCATTTTGTTTGGTAGAGTGTTTCCCAAACTTGCCCAATCTTAAGAATTGGCTGAGGTGCTTAAAATACACATTTCCTGTGCTTTGGCTTGGAGAGCCTGATTGGGTAGGTCTGGGATGAGGCTGGGAACGTGTATTTTAACACAGATGTCAGTTTTGAAAAATACCAGTTAAAGTCATTAGAAGACCTTCATTAAAATGAAGGAATAAGAGTGTTGCCTATGTAAAAAAAAAAAAAAAAAATGGATGGGGAGCCAACAAACTGATGGTCTTTCTAATATGCCTGAGGATACTTGAAATTGAGAGTAGTTATCTTCTTAAGTAACTGAGACTGCCGTAACACCTGTTTAGAATTCCTCTTCATGGCCACCAAATGCTGTTCAGCTGGACACAATGCAGAAGGTGACTTTCTGTCTAGGCTCAAATGATTTTTCCCTCACTTGTACACTTAGATTCCTTGGATTCTTGTGTCAGGCCAGTGAGTTGTGTAGGAGAGGACTGTCAATACTGAATTGGCAGGACCTAAATCAATGAGGTTTGGCGCTGTCTTCAGAAGCCCCGGCAACAAGTTTTCTGACACCAGATGAAACAGAAAGATGGGGTTTGGCTTTATTTCCTTGCTTAAGAAAGTATATTGGTGACTTTTAGGTGCTTGTATGCTTCCTGCAGGCATTTCTAACTTGCGATTTTTTTTGTAATTATAGTGAAAAACTACTTTATGGAAATTATTGCCAAAAATAGGAAATACCCTCAAAACTGCACTGCTGAAAGCACTTGGATGTATCTCATGTAGTCTTTTTTCAAGGGTGAAAATATGTATTTTCCATACCTGTGATTATAGCACATAGTCAGCTTTGTATCCTTCCCTTTGCATTTAACATGTTTCACCATTGCTCCATAAAGTTCATAACTATCAGTTCTAACATCCACAAAGTGGACCGACATAAAGCTGCAATTGAGTAAGCCACCTGGTCAGCTGCCCAAGCCCTAACCCACAGATCAGGGGTTTGTGAAGGGCCTGGCTGCATGGTTTTCATCACACACACGGGCAAAGTGAGCTAGAGTTAGGAGGCGGATGCATGCGACTTTAGTTCCCAACTCTAGCACTTAAAAACAGACGAGGCAAGTTACTTCGTCTTTCTTAACACCAGCTTCTTCATCTGCAAAATGGAGGAAATAAGGTCTAGTTATAGGGTTATTAGGAGTAATGAGAGTGTAATTAATGTGCACCAGCAAGAGAGGGGCTAAATGGCTGTCAGAGTAAATGTTGGGCTTCCTCTCCTCTCTTCTCTCCCTACACCTGTTCATTCCTCACTGACGTGTGCTCCTCCTAACCTGCTGACCCCGTACGCAGTGACCTAGGCTTTCATACCCACCTTTGGCTCTCTGGACACCTGCTTATCCCATAGTTCTCCGTACATGGGGGGTTTCCCCCACGCATGCTGACTAGCTCACTCCTCGGCTTCCAGCTGCCCTCACCTACCTCAGCCCCTACTCACTGCCACCCAAGGGCCCATTTACAACTTCCTTGGATTTTTAGACTCTTTATAAATAAACCTAGATGAAGATTTTTCTGTTTCACAATGTTTTCTCTTTATATTTTCCCTCGTTTTCTTAAGAGTGGTTGTACCTGGGTCAAAAGGAATGACATTTTATCACTCTTGATACATATAATGGGTATGACCACTTTTTAAATTATTTTGCCCACTTAATAGGTGAAAAATAGCACCTTGTTATGTTTTATGTTATTATAGTCAAGACTGCATATCTTTCCAGAGTTTGGCTACTTCTTTGTAGAAAACGAAAACTTCTTTAAAACCTATAAGTAATTTCAGCAGAATCCATTTCATTTTCTGTGTTTAGTTTTCTCACGGACCAATGTGTTAACCTGGGCATATAATTTTTGCCTATATGTCTGCAAATAGACAAACCAATAGATATTTTCACTTCTTTTGAAGTGACTGATCCCTTTCTGCCAGGCAGCTTCATAGGCTCATAGAACCTAAGGATCAAAGATGAACTTTGAGGTTTTCCACCCAAATCTCCCCATTGTAAGCAAATATCATTCCAGACCATGCTTGAATACCTCCAAGCACAAGGAATTCATATTCCTACCCAAGAGTCCATCCAGTTATTGCCATCAGTAAAATATTATTCCATTGAGCTAAAACTCTACCTCCGTGAGACTTTCAAAGTCATTCAAATTCTTCTCTTTCAAGCCACACAGAATGTTTCCACTCACAGCCCTTTGTAGAGTTGAAGGTGACTGTCATTTCTTCTCACCAACTAATAAATAGCTCAAATTCTGCTTCACCATTTCTCGTGTGTGGAAGGCTACATGCGAAAGAGTGGGGAGTGTGGATTTAGACAGCCATGTGTTCAAATCCTGTTTCTTCCACTTAGTGGTATGTGACCTTGAACAAATTCTTAACCTCTCTGAGCTTCAGTTTTCCCATTTTGACAACGGGAATAGTAACATCTATCTCACAGGATTATGTTAAGAGTTAAGTAAGATAATGTGAACAAAGCATTCTACGCATTCAGTATCTCTTAGTTCCCTAATCCTGAGAACTCTGACCATCCTGGTTGCTCTTTTATGGATCTGCCCCTGTAGATGAGACTCAGGACTGGACCTGGTGCTCCAGGAAGAGTTCGATCAGCAAGATGTCACCTCTTACTCTCGGACTTTGAATTAGCATCTTTAGCAAAAGAATTGTCTCAAATTGAGCCAATAAGGCTCAGTAAGGTAATATTGACAGTATGTAGTGAAGGAAATGTTACCAGTCCGCTATTCTGTCTTTTTGGCTAACACGATACTTGTCCCTTTCGTTTACTGTGTTATACGGGAAAGAGCATCAATTTTGGAGCCAGAGAGACTGACACT